AAGTCAAAGAGAGCAAACCCAAAGGCTATTGTCCCACAGATCTGTGGTTAGCCAGTGTGCACACCCTACATTTCTCTGTTAGTGGAAAGATTTTAGACAAGTGGAGTGGAGGTTTGTTTGGGATCTAGCTGGCTCCAATAATCATTATCAGTTTTGTACTCCTTGCAAGTCTATTGCTATCTTGCATTACTCAATGACTCAGACTTTCCTGCTGGTGAAGGAAAGTTCATACCTAGTTTTAAGCTCAACTTTTGGAAACTTGAACGAGTCACTTACCCTAATTTGAAACCAAGCATCAGAGGAGCAAAGACGGATGTCACAGGAACAGATCATATCAACTCCTCCACCCACACACCCTGAGTGAACTGCGGCAATGACTGGCTGTGGACATTTTTCAATGCTACGAAATGACTCTTGTAGGAAGAGGATGAGTTTTCTCAGCATATGAGCTCTTCTGGAGGGTTCCAAGTCAGAGTTCATCAAATCACTCCCCATATCCATCAGATCAAGACCTGCAATTTAAATTAACCAGGTCTCTATTTAAACATTTAAGATGCATGTATTAAAAAAATGTTTAGTTAGAAGTGAACTTTAATTACAGTGAAGTGTTTGATTTTGTATTTAACATTCTTATCACTTACAAATGTTTCTATTAAAACTAGGATAAGCTTGGATGGCAAAAAAAAAGCCTGTGTGTTCTTCAGACATCACCAACTTTGGATGAGAGGCCTAATCATTTGTAAGTTCATGTATCTAATGTAATGTTTGCCCCAACCTGCAGTGAAGATTTTTCCTGCTCCGGTTAAAACTACAGCTCTGCAGTCAGAATCATCACCAATCTGCCGAAAACAATCCACCATTTCCCTGCGTACCATAAGAAGATGAGATAGTTAAGTTCTATTATAATTGTACCAGAAGATATTGGAAAGTAGAATTGTCAATGTAAGCCTGTACATGGTAGAATCACTGACTGTCTCACCATTTTTACCATAATAATATTAGTGCTTTGTAATTGCCTCTTCAACCTTGTATTCTGAGACAGTAAAGTGGTATGAAACTCTATGAGATGTTGTGTGAATCTCCAAACTTATTGCAAGCCATATTGGTTTGCAACACACTTATCAAAAGGACAAGCATTATAAAAACTTGATATGCAGTATTATAAAAAGTGCCCTTTTTGATGATTCTTCTCTAATGACTAAAATTTTACCTTTTTCACAAAATGTCACAAATAGCCCATTGACAACATAATGTATGGAGAGGTCACAAGCTGACCTTCTCCACAAGTTCAAGGCTGAAGATCACCAAACCATTCACAGGCTGATCATAAAAACCAGAAACATGATATGCATAAGCTTATCGCAGTAATTCAATATGAAATCTACCTCCAAAATGTTCCATTCATGGCATTTCTTTTGTCTGGTCTGTTAAGTTCCACCTGAATCACATGTTCCTGTGGTTTAGTCACAGCAAGAGTTTCAAATTTGTACTGTTCTGTACTGTTCATTCTGGTATTTGAACTGTGGATTGCACTGCTTTGAGATGCCAACAAAACTTTTTCTGGCTTCAATGATACGCATGTATTTGATAGACGACCACTGATCCCTAAAACTAAGGAAAAGAGGCATCATGAAATTAGTGTTGAGGCAAATTGGAGATGGTATCAATGTAACTGCAAATGTCTCTAGGACAAAGGAATTTTTAAAAAAAATACCATAACCCTTAAAATTCCTTAAAGCAATAAGCATCTAATTTCTCCCTGCAGTAACACCCCAGAATCAAACATTAAGGTCATGAGAATGGAGGAAATGATCACAACCTCAATAAGCTCTTGATTTTAAGACAAATTCTCATTGTAAGTACCATTGATAAGAAATATATAGAGAGACCTTGCATAGTGATGTTATAGTGATGTTAGGGACTGTAAAGGGTTATCGCTTCTGCAATACAAAGAAATACTTTCTTCTCCTGCGCATGTTCATTAAGTCTTCAGAATCAGAGTACATAAAGGTACTTTTTTACACTTAATTTGATAGCACGTATGCACGTTTGCTTAACACGTATTGCACAACTCTGAAGAACTATTAATTAATCGAAGTTGGTGTTGAACTATTTGTGAAAGGCAGGGCCCAGGAGAGAATAGTCGCCGCATGGAGCCTGGAAAAGTATGTTTGCTTCATTTTAATACATGAATCCAGTTGTAAATGAAGAGGTAAAGAACTTGCATAAAATTACATATCAGCTGTAAATATCACTACTGTATTTTAAATTTTACCTTGCACAAGTTAAAGAGTTCTGAAACTACTCTTTCACGTCTCCCATTTAAATTTTAACAACTTACCTCTTCCAATACCAAATCGGGAAAACATTTGTCCAACTTTGTCCTGAAAAATGAACCTAAAACCTTATATTATACTCGCTCATAAGTTTCCCCTTTCCGCCATTTTGAACTGGGGACGATGCATACTTAACGTGCCTCGTTTCAATGTCACTTCTAGCTAATTAAAAAAACAAAATGGCAGACGGCTCCATGGTCAAGACAAGCGAGAAGCTGTACCGGATCCTAGCCTTTGGGGACAGCCTTACCACAGGAAATACAGGAGGTGAGCTAAATGAAGCTATGGACAAGCCTTACACGATTAGCCTCTCGAAACTACTGAGAGACAACCACCCTGACTACGCGTTCAAGGTAGACAACAGAGGGATTTACGGCGAGTTGGTTTGCGGTGAAATGACAGAAAGATTACCTAGGGTTCTACATGAAAGCGGACCGTACGATTTAGTGATTATTTTGGGAGGAACCAATGACATCATTGAGGCTAAGAAAGATTTAGAAGATACACTCTTTGAAGGAATTACAAACTTACATGCTGCGGTCGTAAGTCACGGCGCAAAGGTCATTGCGCTTACAATCCCAGAAACTGACCTTTACTTCAAAGATCTTAGGGAAAATGGTTTGTGTTGGGTCAAGGAAGAAGGAGAAAACATTCGTTTGTTGGTAAATGAGAAACTAAGGGAATCTATTGGGAGGAATGAAGAAAACGTTCACATCACTTTATGTGACTTTGCCGTAAAGTTTCCTCAACAAAGCTTGTGTGACAAAGATTTGCAGGAATTATGGAGCGATGGTTTGCATTTTACAGAAAAAGGCTACAGTAAGATGGCAGAAATAATCTATGAGGACATGAAGCATCTTTTCACGTCCAGAATGACACAAAGAGAATAATTTTAACTTTTTTATTCAGGTACTTATATGTTTTTCAATTAATATACACGCACATCTATAATGAAATGTTCTTAAGGTCTAGTGTAGTTCGATGATGTGCTTGTAAATGATGTCCAGCCAATGAGTTTCTTGCACTCTTTGACACTGAACAAATCGATTTAACTTGCCGAGTTGAGCAACCATTTAATACCAGGCAGGACTCCATCCAGGTTTTCAACACAAGCTGAATTTACCTAAAAGGTAATAATAACATTTTTCATGCTTTGTTCAAAGGCAAAAACAGAGCATTACTGAACAGTAAATAAGAATTTCCAAAATTTTTGGTTTAGAGCTGATGAATATTAAACAAATTTGCCTCCCATTAAATTTTTTTCCTTTTTTTTAATGAAAGCTGAAGAAAAAAATAGAAAGAAAGAGAGATTCCCAGCAGTCATGGACCTTTCTTATTATTTTCTAGGTTATCTGAACATAAATATTAATTATAGTAGTCTGGTTTCAGCAAACATATTTTATAAAATAATTCAAATAGTATGCGCACTCTGATTGGCCATAAAACCATTTTACATGAGTGTTTGTAATCACAGTTTTCATTCCTCTTTCATTAGTTATTTTATAAAAGAAATGTAAAATGGTTTCCGTGTTTACATAGCCCGATGTAAACACACGGGAGGTTGGGAGAACACTCGATAAGCTAGAAACCACTCTGCTTTGCGTCGTGGTTTCCTACACTTATCTCGTGTTCTCCCAACCTCCTGCGTGTTTACATCAGGCTATGTAAACACAGAAACCATTTTACATTTCTTCAGTTGAACATGGCCATTAATATTCCTGCAGCTCATCAACCACAATGTAACTCTAGTGCCAAAAATGCATTAACATCCATCACTGCTTGTCAAGAGATTTCCAGATGTTAGTCAATCGTATTTCTGCATCATGAGTGCAATGCAGAGGTCAAACTCTCTAGCTAAATCAATTGTTGCTACTCTTTTTGTGCCTTACTTCTAGGGTTCCGCATTGCACTCTAAACATAAATTTTTTGTCTTGCATGACTTTTTTTCTTGGCCACGGATTTCACCAAAAGGAGGAACCTCTTGTAGTTGTAGGAGTAGCCTAAGAGGAGACTTACTAAACCTCTCCCTCCCCTTCCTTTCTCCCCCCCCCCTCCTTTAATGAGCTTACTGGTGTTCAGTAATGTTTCAGCATTGGAATATAAAGACTTCTTCAGATTTCTAATCCAAGGCAAGTACATAATACTACACTACCATATGGCTAACCTGCCATGGTCTGTTGAGTTGTCTCAGCTGTAGAAGCTCAACGACAGTTGCACAGGACAATGAAGGTGTGATTTCTTTTTCAACACAAGACAGTACTAAAAGAGGAGCCTTAACTTGTGTCCAGTTCTCATTCATCATGGCAGACAACTCCACATCTCCTACATTCACTGTGTAGAGATGATAGAAATGTACATAAGGAAAAGTATTTCTGACTACTGTATATATACCAGTCAATTGGAAAAATTTGAGAACCTGCTTTTTTGAAACTCCAAGATAAGGTAACAAATGTGAGACTTGGAGAAAGAAATTAAAGAAATGAAGAAAAATGAAACTTCCTTACAAAGGGTGCTATCGGTAATGGCTATGGTAGAGACAACCAAATGATAATGATAATGATAATACTAATATTCAAGTGTCATTGAACTAACGGAGAGGATGTAATTCTCTTCGTTTTGTCTGAGATTGTACATAATTCATGCTGTTCTGAAAGTGGTTTGTTTTCTGTTTATTTTTTGTTTGTTTTTTTCTTTTCAAAATAACTTCATGTGCTGTCTCAGAAGACAAGTGAAAAAAAAGAGTCAATTAACAACTGTAAGTTGGAATTGGTTGATGGACTGTCACAGGGAATTTTAGAAAGCATATGTTCGAGCATTTATGTTATAAGAAAGTTACTTCAACAAAGGTCTAACATTTCATATGTCAACCTTTCAAACTTGACATAGCCATCAGTAGATGTACTCTAATCAAGTAAAAGTTTAAACACTTTTTTTCATGAAAAGATTAATGAAAAAAAAATTATAATTGTACCTCTATCAGAGTCAGCAGAAGAGTCGACGACATATATAAATGCATTTACAGTTTTACAAAGTTCCCTGACTGGATGGCTTAACTCAGTGGAGTGGGACTGGAACTGGGACTCATGATCCTTGTCATCTTCATTATTATTTGCATTTTCAGTGGAAGCCAGTAGTTTACTAGATCTTGGCCTTCCAAGTCTTACATTAGCTTCTCTTTCTTTTCTGCAAGAGACCACAAAAAGAAAACACAAAAATAATGTTGTTTCATACATACATGGACATGTTGCATGACAATTTCTTTGTTTTTGTTTGCTTGTTTTTTCTTTACCTTAGTAGCACATCAAAGCTTGTGAAAAGGAACAATGAGAATGAAAGAAATAAATTTTTCATTTATTTTTGGCAGCATAACTTCTCTTACAGTTTACTATTACCTAATAGAAAAGGATCCAAATGATCTCTGGGAACTAAATTTTTTTTATGGGGCCGGGTTGGAAAGTAGACATAAGTTGTAGACTAAGGAACTTTTCCAAAAAAATTATTCACCTATAATTCATCTGCAAGGTAAATTGATGAGTGTAACTGTAGATTTTTTTGAAGATATCCCTGGAAGGAATCAAACCTCAGACCTTTGGATTCAGATTCCCTGCTCTGATGCTCTACGATGGAGCCACAGAGACTCTATAATGAGCAAGGCCCATTACAAAGTTCACATACAAAGTCCATTACAAAGTTCATAAAAAAATTTCAGTTCTTTGAAAATTAAAATGTTTTTTGAAAAAGTAACTTACTTGTTTGAAGCATACAATGTGATAAGGTTTAATTCCATGTTTTCAAAGCTCAAGCAAACTCCAGAACCAACACCTTGTAAAACCATATAACAAAAGATTAGTTCTATTTCAATCCTTTCACTCCCAAGATCTCACTAGTAATTCTCCTTTCTTTCTGCCAATCAATTCTTGCAATGTTAGTTCTGAGAATTTGTTATTGGATCAACTAATAATTGCCTAATTGAAATTCTTCTTTATCCTCATCACTTGTTTGCTTGATATGGTATTGATATTGTGAGGAGAAATTCTGTCTTGATCATCATTGGAGTTTAAGAGTTCAAAGTAGGAGTGAAAATTAATTTTCATTAATGATACTTTTAATTTAAGAGAAGTTTATTACTTTGCCTACTATTACATACTTTTAATAAATGTAATTTCTACTTTAATTTGATCTAGATATAGTGAAATTAGTTACAATCAGAGTGAAATTAATTACAATCTTAGTGAGCTCTAGCGTCTAAAACAAATTTTTTTCACTTCACAATAACATCAACCAAAGAAGGTGTAAATACCTTCAAACTGTCCTGGGAACATTCCTGTCACTTCAAATGGTGACTTTTTATCCCATAATAGTTCACGCACAAGTCCTTTGGTGTCTGACTCCAACCCAGGACCAAACATGACTAAACGGGGTGATCTTTTCTTGAAAAAGGAGGATAAGTTTTGCAGGTTGTAGAAGACTATTGACTTGAAAGACTCTCTGGTTTTTCTTAAGGATCTGCACTCTGGACAGCACCTTAAGTATCTACCAAGAAAAAGAGAACAGTACTTAATGCATATGTAATTAGTGTCAATCAACTCATATATGGCTACTTCTTATAGGAGTGAAAAGTATACTTCTGCAAACCTTATAAACAAGTAAGTAACAGGAGAATGAAGAGAGATGCATGTCCTCTCAATTGAGAGTGACCCCTTAAATTTCAAAAAGTATAATTAGTGAAAAGTAAGTAGTGAAAAGTATACTTCTGCAAACCATATAAACAAGTAAGTAACAGGAGAATGAAGAGAGATGCATGTCCTCTCAATTGAGAGTGACCCCTTAAATTTCAAAGCAAAGTAAATTAACCAGCTTTTTGAAGCATTAAGTGACTTTTCACCCTTTAAATCTCAGAAGTGATTAACATGTAACTTCTCCCTATAATATCCATAAATTATCCAACAAACAGGTAGTAAGAATACTAAAACTCATCAGGTACAAGATGTTACCTTGATTGAACATCAAATTTGCCTAACCAATTTACAAGGAAATGTGTAGCAGCTAGAGGGGAGAATTAACAATCAGATCTTGGGAATTAAAGGGTTAAGGTGTAATGCTTCTCTAATTGCACACTATGAGATGAAACTATTACCAAATTTTACATCTTCTGGCTCAGCAGGGACACAAGAAAGGGAGTGAATTAACTTTGATTGTATTCACCCATTCTTGCCATCAAATCAAATTTTATTTATCAAAGAAGAAGCGACAAATATTATGCTCGACTGTGATGCATATTGTATCACTCACATTTGTTTCAAAGATAAATCTGATCTTGCCTCCATGTAAGTTGATGGACATGACTGATATCCCATAGTGCTCCACTTGTGCATGTCACGTTGCAACAAGTTCATCCAGAGTACCTTGTCTTCACTGAGCATGTTCCAATAGTGGCATGTTGACGCAGCTGTGCAAAGTGATCTTGCATCCAAGTATGAGAATATATTGAGTTGTAAGTTTACCTGCGATGAACACATTTTAGATTTCAACAGATTCCATGAGTCAAGATTGTCAATTAATCTGCTGGCCTTGGTGTTTTGAAACTAAGAAAATGTAATTGTTTTATGTTTTTAATTCAAGTATCTCAATTTAAAAATTATTTGTAGTTTTTGGCTAAATAATAGATAAATAATTAAAAATGATGTACAGAATTTTTGAAATACATTGATTAATTTAAACTTCATGCCAGTAAACATTACTAAGTAAGACACTACTCGAAGTTAACTCTTCTTCGAACTTGGGAGTTGCTGAGCAGACGTTTGACTAAACAATCAGTTAAAATACAAGATTACATAATTATTTCCATCATTAAAACACTGACCATAGTAGCTGCAATTAAACTACAAAACTGCTTTAGAAAGATAGATTAACTAAATCCTAGTTACCGGTAGCTCTTGGAAACCAAATTCCGATATGGAAAGTTCCCTGACGATCAATCTTTTCCCTACATCAGCTCGTGCTTTTGACGGTTGAACTGTTATTTCTTGCATTCCTCTTTCCATGATTGTAGTTTGATATAACTTGATCAAAAATTTGACTGGGTAAGTAGCTGCTTCAAGAAAGTTGTCCGTATCTGTAGCTAAGCCGGAAATAAAATCCTCAGATTTTTCGTTTGCTTCGCCTCGCATTATTTCGTCGTTTACCTGAAAATGAATTTCAGACTTGGTTGTTTTTGTGTGTGCTACGACAGTGGATGACATCGATTACTTGCGCTTAACGCAAGAACTGGTGTTTTTCATTTTGTTACGCTGGGTTTCAGCTGCCCACAGAGCTACGCAGTTATTATTGACGTGGCAGTTCCCATCACTTCCCGTTGTCACGGAGAGTCACGTAAATCCTATTTTTAGCAACATAAACTTTCAACATAATGAAGAACTCAGGGGGTTTCAAAAACGGATTGACATAAAAGGAGCGTGATACTTACTTTTAAGCTTCCAAATTCTGTGGAATAAATATTTCTTTCTTCGCACTTTTGAGTGCACAGTTTACCGACGTTTTCCGTTTCATAACTAGTCTAGTCTTTATTCAATCGTCCATCGATGTTTACAAACTCTCAACCTAGCTACCTCAAATTTTCTCGCTGCTTGCAAAAGCTATTTCTTTAAAACTAATATGAATGATGAAGTTAAGGCCCTTTTATCACATTTTGCGTTCGCCAATCAGTGTTACATATAAGATATCACTGCTTACTGCATATTTGGTTTAGTTCGGCAATTTCAACCCAAACGATTGCGTGACCATAAGGTAAGGCTTGTCTCGCAGTACATAGTTATTCCACCATTACGTTCCACTAGCTGTGGTAAAGACGACAAAGTCATCGATAAATAATTGATTTTAAAGCTCCCCTTGCCATGAAAGTGTTACTTTAGTCATCTATTAGTAATAAATTTCGGGCGGCCGTTCGCGACTACAATGATTTCCTTAACAAATAATAAGAACCGTGACCGTGAAATGTTCGCATCACTACTTTGGGGCTCGTTTCCTCACTGCTTGTGATGTATTCACGGTTTGGGGTAGTCCTACAGCGTTTTGACTAAAGTAGTTTAAATCTGGTTTCTCAAAAATAAGCGACACACGTAAATTAGCTTTTCAGTCATGGAAGAGGAGAGACAAAGCCTGTCTCGAGTACAACAATTGCAGAGAGAGCAATCGTAAAGTACTAGCTCTCAGGAAGAGGTTGAGGCATGCACTAGGATCTACTAACTATTGTCAAAGATAAAATGCAGGGATAAAAAATATTTGAGGACAATTCTTTGGAATACAGAATTTGGGGGACAAAAAAACTATGGGTGACAGATCTTGCAAAAATATGTCCCAGAGTATTCTGTTAATGATACTACACTAAAAAGAAAATGTTTGAAATAACACAAATTGAGATTCTCTCATAGCAAGGATTAAGATGAAGATTATGCAGCTGATTTCCAGCCATTTCCAGGGATGCAGAAAATAGTTCTAGTGTTAACAGTTTATTTTTTTTATCTTTCTTGTTTTGCTTTTTACATATATTTAAAAAGTTATTTTCAAATCTAGCATAATTTCCTAATACAATTAAGAATTACCTTTCATATACTTGTATCAATTGTCTTTGTTTGTTTGTCTTTACAAATAAAGGTTACTAGAAATAAAAACTTTATCAAATATTTGAAATTATAGTGCAGTTTTTGTGTGTCTAAAGATCCCAAAGAAACTGCAGAACCTGAAAAAGAGAATAAGAAATGTCACTTATGGGAACTGCATTTGTTGTTTCCATGGAAACAATAAACAACTGTTTGAAAAACTATAGGGCAAACAAATTTATATAAAATTGCATCTGCCATCACCAGCTGAGATCATGGTGTAAGACTGAATAGTTGATGAAAATAACAGTTTATACCTCTTAGACACAGAAAAAATATTTTTTCCTTTGTATAATATTAGTTTACAATGTTATATGTTGTATATACTGTAGACAAATAAAAAAAATAAATGAAATAAAATTTCATTCCACAATCTCTTTCCTTCTTGCACTTTCTAAGTAATGCATTGAGTAAGCATGTATGCATGTATATGTAACAATATTATGTATATCTAGTTCTTTTTCCTTCCAGGTAGTTTCAATAGTATTGAAAGTAACCCAGATACCTGAGGTAGAGCCATCTTCACCTAACTTACCCTGTTTTGTTCTGATGCCTGATATTTATTCTTAAGTTCTGCCTTGAGTCCTATGGATATTAACTGTGCTAAGAATCATCAGAGTCACTGGAGGAGTCATAATCTAAACCTAGAGCACTGACAAGGAAGATGAGAGTAGTTTTAATTAGTAAAGTTTTATGGAAAAAATGATGGGGGATTTCTCAACCTGGATACTGCTTGATACCTTGCTTATTCAAACACTGTGAATCTATCTCAGTTTTCAAACATTCCCAGCATTAAAACCAATTACCCCAGTACCTTTAAAATATTGTGTTTCCTCTGAACTTTATTTCAATTACCCTCAAAGCAATGAAAATTAGGCTACATCAGTTTTTAAATCAACAACACAAACTTCTTACTGTTTAGGTCCAACATCTATATGATCCCTCTGGTGTTCCAAATCACCTCCAATATTCTGAAACAGAAGAATGTAGGATTTAGTTAAAGAACCACACAAGTTTTAAAATATTTATTGCGCTAATCATGGTTGCTAAGGGACTGAAATCAAACCATCACATAGTGCATATAATATTTTGCTAAATCAATCATAATAAAATTAAAATCAATCAGTAAAGTATTAATTGCTGGGTTTCTACTTAAAGCAAAAGTTACCTTTGAGTTTATTTTACATGTGTCATTTGAAGGATGTGTTGTCCTGCCACAGGCTGTGAATAGAAGATCTGCAGAATCTCTCATCTTCCCACTTTGCACATCTGATGAATTTGCATCCTGTTGGGCAAAAATTTTAGACAACTGATTTTTCAGATACTGAGAGTGATCTTCAGAATATGTAAGGGGACAGAACATGTCATGTGCATATGCCGCCATGTTAACTGTTGTTGTTGTTTCTTTTATAAAAACATTATTTTATGACCAATGTCTAGTTTCTTTCTCAAATTTTGTCATAGTGTTGATTAATTGGTAACAGGACTTCATGTTGTCCAATTCTGTTTGTAATCATATGAGTGATTAACAAATTGGACCCCCCCTTCACAGTCATGTGATTATGTTAATCACTTGTATGATTACAGACCAAACTGGACTCCACTTGATCCTATTACCATGATTATAACTCACTTATATTACTTTCAACACCTCAATGGAAATTGTCATTAAAAATAATTATTATCAATGATCTCCTTGTGGTACCAAAAACACCCCTGGCTACTTCACTCTTTAATCAACTCTAAAGCAAATTATTTCTAATGAAGTAGACTAAAATAATAACATCATCTCATCAGCAACTTTAGAGTGGCTTCCACACACATCTACCCTTCACTTTCGTTTATTGCAGCTACCTTTTAAGGAAAATTATTATTCAAAAGTTCTGAATTCCTCAAAGTATTCAACTAGAGGTGTTAATTTTTACATACCTCCTTTTCCAACAAAGGAGTGCAGATCTTTTTAGGTTTCACTTCTGTTTGTGAGCTATCTGTAGTTTTCCGTTTACTGACATAACCTCTTGGCTGCCATGGAACACTTGTTGTGCTGGGATCTAGTTCATAAACCTTTTTGACAAACCTATAGCAAATGGTAAAACACATTTGTAAGCTTCTTACTCAAAACAAAATAAAAAATTCAATTCCTCCTCCATATCACCCTCCATTGATTTCTTTGTACAAAAAAGTCTCAATGGTATAATTATTTACTTAGTCAACTGAAGAAGATTTGTTCTGACTGAAATGAACTTTATCACATCCTTGATTACAAAATGTGATAATCATCATTCATTTAATACAAGAAGAAATCCGATTATGAACAAACTCTTGGATATAAGATATCACAATTAGTTTTCAAGGAAAACTGGTGGAGCAAATTGTACTTAAATTAACAAAAATGATCTTCAGAATTACATATTGTTAACATAAATAGTAATGAAGCATTGAGTTTGAGAAAAAATTTAAATCCATGTTGGCAATTTGGATAGTGGGAAATATTGTCTGCATAGTCCCTCATGTTGATCAAATGACACTTAACAGTTGCCAATATCATCTGCATGCTACCCTCGGGAATCCTAGCAATAACCAAAGCCTTTGTTTGATGACAATATTTGAAATTACACAACATCATCCAACCCAAAATGGCACCTGCTGGGAAATTTGGACATTATTGTTTCTCTTTTTTATTATTATTATTTTTTTTTATAATTCCTCAAAATACAAGAAACTTTTATCAGTTGAAAAATAACTTATTGCCCCTGTGGAGACTTCCTCAATTGCTTCTTCTTTGCTATTACCTTTTGTATTCATTTTCAAGTTCTTCCACCTTCTTTTCAAATTCTTTCATTTTTGTGTCAGGATAACGATGTTTTCTGGCTCCAGAAAGTTGCTGCAAATATTAAATTAGATTAGTCAATTAAAAGTGGGTACCAGAGCATTCAGCTTTCATATGAGAAGAGGGTGGTTTGGAGATTTTGATCAATTTCATCTCTGCAATAGACAAATGGTACTAGAAGCTTGTTCATTACCATGAATCACTAATTATTGTGCTCCTCAAACCTCTACAAGAAGCTAGAGGAACCACACATGTTACTGGTCATTTAAAGCATTTTTATTAAAATGACAAAATATGGGCTTGGCAGTTGTTTGATCAATGATGAAACCAACCTGAAAGAGTTGAATTATGCTTCTGGTCACCGACTAAGTCGAAAAAACATCCATGCTTTAGTTTCTTACCTAGTGACCGTTCCTTTAAATTCATTGTTAGTCTTTTTTTTTCATACCCAGGATCAACAAAACAAGTACAAGGAAAACTATCTAGCCATTAATTTATAAAAGGAGTATAGCAAACATAGACAAGGTTTACATAATGTCGACTTACATCTAAATAATAGTCCAATTCCTTTTTTATTCCAGGAATCCACTTTTTAACCTCTGAAGCACTGTTCAGTGAACGCTTGGTTGAAATAAAAAAGAAAATGAGAATGAAAAATGTAATGAAAAATGCACCTGATTAGCCCATACACCGGCACTTTTATAACATAGAATTATATAATATAAGTAATCTTTATTGTCTATAACTATTTCCAACAGCTGATTGCAAAGCACACTGTAGTTCACAAATGAGTCTCTCACCAGATGTGGTCTCGTAGGACGGCTCTCCTCTTCATCTAATATCAAACGTCATGAAAAGGATTATGAATACTCTGTTTAATAAAGAACGTTAAAAGAAAAAAACAAAACAAAACATATAGATAATTACCTTTTTGTTGCTTGGCAAGCCATAATCTGTTGAGGCCAATGAGCTTCTTCTCGCAGTTCCGCGCCATCTTTGTTTTGTGCTTTAAATACCGCAGGCTCAAAAATGTTGACCTGGTAGCAGGCCATCCGTAAGGAATTTACTTCCGCTGATTTTTGATGGGCGCTTTTGGGTAATACAACATATTTTTTTTTCCTTAACACTTTACTCTTGTTGCCCTGCAGCTGTGTGAGTTCTGAATGTGTTTGCCATCATTTGCTAGATTTATTATTCTTTTCGTCAGTTTGGTTTCTAGGCGTAAGTTTAATCTGCACTGTGACAGGTTGAATCACCTCACACAATTTTTAATGGCTTGCTTAAGAAGGACGAGACAATCTTTACTCCATTGCCGCATTACTTTGTACTCCAGCCATGATTCCCAAGTTTTAATGTGCATCCATTGCCCAACACTATGATCGTACGAGGTGTCAAGCTCTTTGGTGGACATTTACAGACGCCGAGGGGTCACGGTGCTACCTTGCAAAACGACCTGTGGGAACCGCTGATTTTCCGAGTGTTCTCCGCCGAGTGCAGCTCTCTTGTACCGTCTGTTTCTATACGTTATCTCTTTACGAAATATGATACAGGATTTGCAAGTGAATTCAAATGGAAGGAAACTTTCGTCCATCGGAAAACCGATTTAGCATGAACAATGGGAAAAATTAGCGCTGGGACGGCAATGACGAAAATAAATGTTTGAAAAACATTTTGAAAACCTTCTTGAAAAGATTGACTTGAGATGGGGATAGCAACTTTTCCAGAAAATAATTACCACGAGTTTTAGCTTATCAGTCGAAGGAATTTTGTTTTGTTGCTTAATATTTTTTCTTAATATTTAATATTGTTTTGTTGCTTAACACCTTAATATTTTTTCTTCTACATAAAGTCTTACCTGATATGTCTGGGAGCTGATTATACTGAATATTTAAATATAACTTAAAACAGTGGCATGAAGTGACCTCTGTAGGATCGAGTCTTTCTGTGCACTAAGTAAAACCCTCGTATTTATGAGAATTCGATCCAGGAAATTACTGCCATGCGTCGGAAATTTGACGATTTTACAGGGAAATGTCGAAAAGACTGTTAAGACTGACCTGGGTCTATAGTTAACAAAGAGACTCTAGTCATCAGATTTGAGTAAAGGTATAACACGAGCTATCTTAAGCTCTTTGGGCGCAACTCCTGAGGCTAAGGATAATTTGAAAATATGTGCTAAAGGATTAGAAATTATATCAATGTTTTGTCTTACGAAATCTATAATAATATCGTTCAACCCAGTAGCTATGCCCAGGCGTAAGCTAGCACAGATCTTAATAATTTCTTAGCAGCAAGTGGTAAAAACACTGCATTAACTGCTGTTAAGACCTGTTGGAAGTCGGATTTTTTTTTTCTGCTAAAGTTAGTACAAGGCAGGGGCAAAAATCACAAAAGCCATTTGCAATTTCAACAAGATCGCTAATTTCATAATTAGTAACCTTAAATGCAAAAAGTAAACAATTCTATCTAGGACATCGATTTATTACCTCATTGAGGATTCTCCACGTGTCCGAAGTGTTAGATTTGCAAGCCAAGTAAGTTTTTGAACGTAGAAATCACGTTTCGCTGTTCTATGTAAATGATTCAGTTTGTTTCCGAATGATTTATATTGACACTCATGAGAAGTAGAAAGGGTAAGATAGGAATCGTTTTTTTTACATTCAGTGGAACGAGGCTTTAGGTGGCAGTGGCAGAGAATGGAAATAATTTCCTGTTGGCATGAACACAGGCGCGCTGGTATGGCGCTAATTAACTCTTTTGTTGTAGTGTATATAAAGTCTGTCGGTTGTAATGTATGCATCTCAGATCTCAAGTTTTCAATTTTATTCCTCACAATGCCGTCCGAGTCAGAAGTAAACCTTGCAAAAAGTTTAACAGCCATCAACGCGGAGCTAAGAGTCGGATTTTCAACTTTGAACAGAGAATTAACCAAGGAACGAAACGCGGCCAGTAGAAATTGAAGGCCTCGGCTTCATCAGCGTCAAAATTCAAGAAAAAGGGCAACAAGAAACAGTTTGAAGTTAACAATCAAGTCCTTGAGCACATTGAGACCGCTTCTTTACTTCTGGAATCCACACCATCACAAGTCGAGAAAGCCTTGTGGGAGCTGATTCGGTAGAGAATTGTTGGGAAATGGTTAGCGAGTGCGATTGTAAGGATGTCGCAGATGACAGTGACGACGATAAAAGTTCTAGGCGGGCAGAAGCTGGAGGTTTTCAGAAACGTTGCCGCTCACAATCTCAAGAGAATAGTCAGAGTTACCTTCGCAATCGGCCGACGCCAGATCTCACCCTCTATGCCATACTATTCATCAAGTACCACTTCTACTGTTCCTTTCGCGTCACTGACTTCGTCCCCAACTGCTTGGAATTCCCAGTTTCCTAACAACTGGTCAAGAACGTCTCTTTGAGTTCTTGTAGGATCTTTCTTCGCCTGTGGGAAGTTTGAATATTTTCGTAGCCGGTGCCCCGATGTGATTAGCCTTTTTTCTGATTTATTGATTAGCCAGATTTTCCCTCGCAGTCGGCTGACGCCAGATCTCCCTGCCATGCCATACTATTCACCAAGTACTAGTTCTGCTGTTCCTTTGGCGCCACCGACTTCGCCCCCAGCTACCTGGAGTTCCTAGTATCCGAGTAATTGGTCTTGTTCGGTACGTAGGCGATCTCGCTTCGCCTGTGGGAAGGTTGGATATTTTCGTCGTCACTCCCCCGATCTGATCGGCCATCTTTGTACATCTTTCAACAAGGCTGCAGAACAAGCATTTGTGATGGACGGGGAATACTCTCGATCCCTCTTAAACACAGATAAGTTCACAGCGGCTCACAGTTCGAGCTGCATACCCACATATTTGTCATTTCTTAGTTATGAACAGCGATAAGAAAATAGCTATAAAATAGGGCGGAGAAGATAAAAATTACCTTTAAAATGGCATGAAATTCCATAACAGTCAAAATTTCCATAATTACAGCTATGAGATGGGGTATATATAGGCAAAAATAAAACCAAATAGTTGGTTATCTCGCTCCTGAAATATCGGAACCGAGCAATACTACCTTTTTGAGACTGTGCACAGGCTGCTCAACGCACTAATTATCTGATGAATCAAACTTTCCACATTATTTTGTTTCCCTAGAAGTTTTTTTAGACAAGTTCTCTGTTAGTTATCCACATCCTTTACGTGATATAGCTTTCGGTTTTTGAGTAAAAATCATTTTGAACTTTAATTTTACCCTGTTGTATAAAAAGTGGAATGGAGTGGGAAATGCTGCTGTCTTTGACCTTATTACTCCCAGATCAAATTGTAATTTCCCTTACTGTCAATTATATAATTCTTATAACGATAGTTCAGAGAATTTAGTATTGGATCAGCTATTTATCCCCAAATTGATATTTTTCTTTATCCTCATTACTTATCTAGTTAATATTGCATTGATATTTCAAGGAGAAATTCTGTCTTGGTCACTCATGGGAGTTCAAGGGTTAAGTGATCAAATATTAAGGCCTCGAGTGGAATTCCAGAAGCGGAAACAGAGGAGAAGCGTCTTTTCAGCATTTCCAGTAAGAGAAAAAAAACTTGTATTTGTTTTTGTTTAGTCACGATGGCTTTTTACCCATCATTTTTACGCCGGAGTTGATTTATCGGGTAGCAAGAACCCCTTGGTGTGAGCTCGTCTTAGGTGACGATTTATATTGACCATCAACGAAAGCGGCATCGTATCACAGCAGGGAACGCAAACAAAGCAAGGTGATATTTTAATACCGGTAAGTAATAAACAACAAAAGGTTCCTTCAATCTTGATCAGGAAAAATGTAAAATTGTTTTTTCGTTTATCAGGGGTTGGCAGGTCTCTTTTCAAGACAACGCAAAAAAAATTGTGGTAGTGTTGATCTTTAAAGAACTGGTGTTCAAAACTAACAACATCATTTTGATCCACCCGTGTCAATTAGCCAGCGCTTTGGGTTGAAAGAGTCCCTGGGGTGACCAGAGCACACTAACTCAGGAGTGACAAACTTCCTTATTGTTTTCTTCACGGCATTCCTACTCCGTAGAAACTACCAGCTAAAAACCACAGAAGTCACGATTGATTTTTCGTAGCTTTTATTTACTTTCCATCCAACTTGTAGGCTTAAGCTCTAAATGCCAATGCCGTCAAACACATCCGCCGGAAATACGCATCAAATCGCTCCAATAACAATGGCTATTAAAGATGACGCTGACATACTATGGACTCAACTGGAGTGCAGAGACGCGTGAGCAGCTTACAGAAATTCAGCTGAGCAACAGCCGATTTCCACGAAACCTTTCGGAGACATAGCCATTCAGCTATCCAAAGAGTATTAAACTCATCTACTTTGGCTGTTAGTATGCTGTCGCACTGAAACCCACACCAGATTTCGAAGTTGTGAGGCGCTCGACTCCTAACGCCATTGGTAAGCCATATAAATAGATATAAATATCGATCCCTCTGCTTCTCTGCCCACTGATTCGTTAGAGGAAAGAAACTTCGCATATTTGTTTTTGTTATGTTGTAAAATTCTCAATCTTTAAACAGCATAGGTTTGTTTGAAGAGTTTGTGATGTAAATATGACGCTTAGCCGAGAGTTTCTCATAGTCACTTGCTTAAGTAACCATGTGAAGGATTGATAGAACAGTGGAACAAAGGAACGGTGGAATGACGGAATATCCTTAAACGCTGAATGACAGGATATCCACTTAGGAATATATATCATTATTTCAGGTTTTGATTTTTATGCCAGCAAGGGGTTTCCCAATGGTACAATAATTCAAAGTTTCCTCAAGATGATAAAAGAGTCCAAGTGTCAGCATAAATATCTCAGTCCCTGGCTGCTGCCTGAGTCACTTTTTAAATTTATCTGATATTATTTGTAGAAGTTAGTCATCATAATTAACAATGGAGATGGAATTGACCCAGTTTAACCATATGACTTGATAGAAAAGTGCATTTTTATTGTACATCAACCACATGCAACTACAATAATTGAAACTTCTCAATGTAAGTA